CACCCGCATGGCGGCACTGCAAGATGCATCTTATGTTGCATCCCCACCGGAAGTCGTGAAGCGTGATTGATGCACTGAGAGTTTTGACGAGGATGATGCACGATGGTCATCGTGTCGTCATAGTGGTGATGACGAAGATTTCGATGAAGTGCCATCTGCTGGGACATGCGGACAACCTCTGACTCTCCGCAAAACACTCGGTCGAATCTCAGGGTGTGGTGGTGGTTGTGGGTGGTGGTGGGTGCGGTGGCGGCACTGGTGGCGTTCGCGGTGGTGGTGGCAGGAGCGGTTGTGTGGTGGCAGTGGCGGTGGTGACCATGCAAACGACGATGATGACACAGAAGTCTACTGCACGCTGATGATGGTCGTGAAAACAGTGCTCACAACGACGACGGCGTTCATACAGCGAGACGCATTGGTGAGTCATGCCGGTAAAGATTGCATCGTCGTCCCCATCCTCCCCAGCATCGTCCGCAGTCGCCGTGATAGCTATGATCTGCAAGCGAACGAGTCCCGCGCTGCAGGACTTCTGGGTCGCCTAGAAGGGACACCTTGCTGCAGCCCACGAGATCTTACCTCTGCGCCTATGGAGCTACAGCCAGCTCTTTCCGGCAATGGCGGATGGAACTAAAGTTCATCCGAAGCATAGGCCTGGAAGCACTTCAAACATCTTCCGCAGACCATGCGCCTTGCATTTATAGTATAACCCTTATATAGAACAGTTGTAGGGCCAGTATAGAACCCGTAATCTGAAAACCCAGCGACTCCGATCTCAGTCTTCTGGCATGCAGCTTGTAACCCTGAGCCATGAGCTCAACCTACTCCCATCATCATCGCTATGATCTCTCCATCTTGATTCGTAGCAGACCCAGAAATAATGCACAGCAAGAGGGACAGCCGGTCTGCTGTCTGACTCACATGAACGTTCCAGGAGATGGAACGAGGGGTGCCTTCGCCCTGTCCACAGGTCCGGCCTTACTGGCAGAAGTGCAGCTTCCACAAAGCCTGAAGCTAAAAATATTTCTGAAATGACAAGTCCTGCGACTCCCAGAGCCGAGCTACTTCAGAAGAAAACTCCACGCAAGACTGAGGTTGATCTGCCCAATCCTCCAAAGTGCAGACAGGAGCAACTCGGTGCAGGGTTTCCAATTTCGGGTGTATCCTGCTGTTGCATTTGGGGCTTAGTTGTTGGCCAGCCGGCGCTTGCAGCTTGCATACCAGAAAAGCTTGCCTTCACAAGCAAGTCCTTCGTAGACTGATCAGGGCCGGGCTGGTTCTATTCGTCTTTGGACGAAATGTCTTCGAGGCCTCCAGGCAGTTCAATCCAAGGCACCCGACGGAAAGAAACCCGTGCTACGCATGTGTACTGTGTATACCTCCCTATGCGCTTAGATGGACAGATAGACAGATAGATTCATTAATAAGTCATTAGACTCTCCTCAATACATCGAGCTTCGGCACGATGAGCATGCATGAGCTGAGGGCATGGCTCGACATGTTGGTTCGAATTGCAAACGTAGTTGGGGAATCGTTGCTGTCCGCTTTGCGAGTTCCGAGCTCTTGCCGGAATTCAGATACGTTTGGCTTCCGGAGTTCTAGGACGCATGGACAGTTGACCCTTTTTTTGGCACTGGACTCAAGTCTAGCCAGACCTCGACCTGCAATCATCTTGACCGCGGCCGACTCCAAGTGTTGTACTGTTCGGCTAGGGAGACATAGCAACAAGTCAACTGACCCTGAACCCAGAACCATGAACCATCGCATTGGCACGAACGAAACCCCTGACGAAGAGTCTGGAGCGAACCCAACCGTGAATCCGTGAAAGCCCAACCTAAGGCTCAGGCACACCAAACAGCCGACATCCGTGGAGCTTTAACCTGTCTTACGGCAAAGAAGAGTCTGTGCGCAGAAGAACATTGTGCCGTTGAAATAGCAATGGCTTGGTGGCACTCTGTTTCACCTATACGGTCTTATCAATCTCACCTCTTCCGCATCTGTAAACAGGCTGCGTTGACTCCTTGAGAAGAGCCGGCTGCTCACTAAGATCGACACTGCCCAACACCTGCACAGCGGATTATGAGACCTTTGACGCCGGCACATGTAGACATTTCTACGAGCCGCGCACACTGAGTTCCAGATCGGAAAGGTCGGAGACTGATGCCAAGAGCTCGTTGTGAATACCTGGCAAGATTGTGTGCTCTACAGTCTTGAGCTGGGTCCCAAAGGTCGGGCACCATTTGTCTGAAATGTCTGATCGCGCGAAGCTTCTTGGGACTTGGCGAAGGGTCGTGCATGCATGCTGCGATGGGTCTTTCTTGCTCCAACCAAAGCCATCGCAAGGCATAGCTTCAGGCTCAAGCATGTCGATCCTGCACTGCAAATACACCTCTGGCAGCATTGAAGCCTCCTTGCACTCCTGCCCGACTCGTGAAGATGTGCTCAAGTTGCTCAAGCTTACGGGATGCGAAATCGCAGCAGGTGCAGCAAGATAGCAAAATCTGCTTGGGTGAATCTGCTGTCGCAGGGCGCCGACCTGCTTCAGCCAGAAAGGGCATCATCAAACAACGCCTCTGAACGTGACGAAGATGTCCGCGTCCCAGGAAAATCGCGCGGTGTGCTATTGTACATGCCAAAAGATCATCGCTCACAACTCTGCCGAGCTTTTTATGGAAACAAATTAATCTTAATCGAACTCCGCAACATCCGCAATTGTACTGGAAGCATGACTTTAATCTTTCCTTGTGCAGTCCAGAAAGCATGAGCCTTAGTAGAACCGAGGCTGTTGAGGAAACTCGCATCGGATGCTATCGCGTTTTGGAGAACTTCTTTCCTGGACTCCTCTTGACTTGGTCAGATTGCCCGAAGCACCCTGCCGTTCCTATCTCCTTGTCCTCGTCAGGGCTCTGCTTCCTGGATCTTCCTCGTGGAGTTCTCTTCTTCCACACGGACCAGGAGCAGTCGGACTACCCCTCCGCACACAAGCGCTTGGAGCCCTCTCTTTCTTTCTTTCGCCAGGGCTACGGACCTCTCTCTCTCTGTCTCTCGGTCAGAGCTCTACATGCTGGAATTCTGCATTCTGCGCCTACAAGATTGCAGTGATACCCATCCTCGCAATTTGCAGGGCAAAGTCGTGCTTTCAGCAGCTGGAACCTGCTATTGCCCAGAGCCGGGATCTAGCTCGCGAAGCAAGATCGCAGCGAATACCATGGCAGTGAAACATGAATGTTTGAGGGGCAGGGCCCGGGACCTGCGAGTATCTTCGCGACACGCAGGTTGCTCCACGTCAGTCCACCCTTCTGTTCTCTAAGTCTCGTGTTACACGCCTAGGCCCCTAGGCCCGTCCCTTCAGAAGAGCCGGGAGGTAGCCGCAGCGATTGGGGATATGCCGCCGGAGCGGGCTTGAACTCCTGACAGGAAGGCATATGCAGGGAGCGTTTGTGCATGACGTGGGACTTGGAAAGGGCTCAGGAAGCAGAGAAATCCATGGCCATGGCCTGCTGTGGAGAAGCTGATGCTGGAGCTGCTGGAGCTGAACGTCTACGTCGCTGCTGCGACTGCCAGAGCATCTCGTAGGTGCTGCGGTGCCCAGCATTTCGAGCGTAGTCCAAAGCACTGCGGCCCGCTTGATCCACCTGCAGGTGCCAGAAAAATTGCGGTTCTGCCTGCTCTAGGCCACCAATCTGCAGCGGAAAAAGAGCCCAAATCTGGCCTGACTAGGGTCCGCGTCATGCAGCAGCAGGCGTGCGCACAATGCCTTGTTGCCTTCAGATGCCGCCCAGTGCAGCGCTGTCCACTCTCGGCGGCCTTCATGCACGGCCTGACTGACATCGAAATCAAGCGGAACACGAATGGGATCGGCAAGCACAATGCACCCAGGGTATACGGACTTGATCCATCACTGTCCTGCCACCCATAGTTCTCCACAGCTGTGACGGCAGCTGCAAGCACAGGATGCATCGCTCCGCCCTCGGCTGCACGAGAAGCCGGGTATCCACAAGTACCACTGTCATCACAAGCCTCTTCAACAATTTTCATGCGAACTATCATGATTAAAATGCGTCGGTATTGCTGGCACTCAGTTCATCGAAAGTCTTCGGATTCCTTCTTCCAACAAACCTGCTGCCAGTATTGCACTGACAGCCGGCCTTGCCGAGATCGGCATCAGGCGCATGGGCCACGAGAAGATTGGACACCTGGTTTGGTGTTGTTTTTTGTTCCCCTCGCAGGGTCTTTGCGGAGCTGTTGTCGTTGCAACTGCGTAACCCATCTTGCGATGACATCGGTTTATCATGGTTGATGTTGGCTGGTTGGCATTGTTTTGAATGTCTTCTGTGGCTGTGGAGGTGGCATTCCCGGTCCTTCATTCCTTCATTGTCCGCTGACATCAAGGCCACAATGCACCAAACGCCCAACTCCGAAGATGGAGAACGGACAACCTTACCACGGCGGTGCCGCAAGACTCAACCAACCAGCGCCCAGAAACCAACATCAACGGCGGAAAAAAACAGTAAACCTCGAATCAGTCCCGACATGTTCCGACTGTAAACCTGTGTCAGACTTACAGGCCGCGACGCATGCTTAGCCCATAAAGACAGCCCGTGCAAGTTTTATGCCACGCCTCCACCTCGCCAGCCTCGTCGGCGCAGTCGAGCGGCGTCCACCCGCGCTCGTCCTGTCTTGTTGTCATCGGCGGTGATCGGCGGTTCGTCATCATGGTAGCAAGAAGACTAGCAAGAGCACCAACAAGGGTTCTGAAGCTGTTGCTGCGGGTATTGCAAGGATGGCAATGCTTGGGACACCCCCGGTGATTTGGCATTTTCCTGCCGGCACAGCCTGGCAAGGATTCGACGAATCTTTCACAGCTACTCTTGGGGCTTTAAGAAGCAGAACAGGGGATTTTTGGACTAGCGCATTACACGACATTCATATCAGGGACTGCAAAGGGGATACCAGTTCTAGCTGGTCCAAGCCCTATGTTGCCTGACCTCCGAGCAGCTGAACCCAAGCCATGGCCGAGCAGCACCACAAATGCAGACGTTTCAGGAAAAAGAAACCTCAAAATGGAACCCTGACTATGGGGATCCTTGCTACAAAGGGGGCCCTACGTAGTCTGTCTTTTACCAGTCCGACCAAGCCAACCTTAGGGTTTAGGGGCATCGTCTTATGGTGGAGGCCAGCTTATGATGGAACTGGAGCCATCTCACAGCAGGCCGTGCTGCTTGCGAACGCAAGGCTCCCAAGTTCTCACGTACTGGCGGGAAGGTTGCCAAAGTGGGCATGAGCTGTTTTCATGCAAGGGACATATATGTCATATCTCCACCCACATACCCGAGCACGCTTGCGAAAATTTGCGACGTTTGCAGCCTTTGGAAGTAGGGGTCTCTTGAGAGCACCATCCCGAGCAAAAGACCAAGGGTTGAAGCCAGGTGCGACAAGAGGGAAGCAAGGCGGATACCGGGTATGGTTTATTTACCAGCGTGCTTAGGTACCTCTGCACACGTCGCCTTGTGAAAAGGTAGTGGCGAGGGTAAAGTACCAGCAGCAAGGAGCAAGGCTCTCGAACCACTTGCGACGAATCACCTTCTTGAATCAATAAACTACATGACACAAGATCCATTTTCGAAACCCCTGGAGGTCTAGATAACCTCAGGGGGCACGGACACATGGGATTACTCCGAAGCAGCTCCTCGCAGAAAGGGTTGGCGCCGGCAGCGAGGAGCCGGCGACAAATCTCCAGCCGGCCTGCGCCGGCTGGTGTTTGTGCATGTATGTATGCATGCACGTATGTCTGTATGTAGGTAGGTATGTATGTGTGTATGTATGTATGTATGTATGTATGTATGTATGTATGTACATACGTACGTATGTATGCATGCATGTGCGTAAGTATGTTTGTTAGATGATGATGCGGTAGCAGAAACTTCTCCCGTCCGAATGAATAAGTCAATGCCCAGAACAGAAGCAAGGGCACATGCCTTCCATGGCTGCCCAATGGAGAATGGTCCAGGCCGGAGGGTCATCCAAGGGATAAACAGCGCTCCAGCCATGTGTTTCGATGCCTGCGGCAGAGCGGTTCTGTCTTCGTCCACTTGTGTAAATCTCGGACAGCAGCTTGAGGCTTTGGTCTAGATTTCCGCCCGACAACCCCCCGGTAGGCTGATCACAGTGGAACATGCCAATGACACATATGGTAGTTCTCTAAATTAGGGTAGTACCGCACCCTTATAAAAAGGACCCGAAGAGAAACCTTAATTTAGAGAACTACCCATATAATGTCAGTCTATACAAAGTACCACCTCCGGCGCCCAACCCCGAAAACACAAGCCGATCTGCAAAACGCGACCCCTAAAAACTCCGAGCCAGCACAAAAGAGCCGCCAAGTAATATATATATATATAGGAGCCTGCATGGCCTTCATATGATTACTGTAGACTACTATGCCTATAGCCCTATATTTCCTCTCTGAAGCCGCGGCACCCTCGAGTGCAGCCGCGTACACCAATGGCATCGAAGAGCTTCCTCCACTGTCGGTGGCACCTCGCGAATTCCCAGCTACGGAGAGACTTTGCCTGCTCCACTGGTGCCATCAAGATCTGCGGCAACCTTGTCAAGACCTCTCTGTGCCCGGGTGTTTGCCGTCATTGGAACAAGATGTCCGTAACGGGAACCCGTAACAGGAACGGGGACCGATGCTGTAACAGCAACCACCGGTTCCTCTAACACCCCCCAGGCCGCCCCTCGTAACAGGAACCAGTGCGGGGCTCCAAGAATGACTTGTTTCACATCCACTCTACTACAGCATCGGTGCTGCCACTAATGCTCCAGTGCTTGTGTCTGCCGCGAGTGAAACTGCAATTTTCGTGAGTTGTGTGCACGATCGTATGAAGGAGGCTCCTGTGTGTAGTCTCGTCACTTCTTTATTCGTCCGACCGCTGGTGCTAAGAGCTGACCGAAATCCCAAACCCCCAAAGCCGTTCACGAACGTTTAGAGGCGTTCTCGAGAGTTTGCTCTCGACTGGCAAATGCCTGAACGCTTGAACCTGACCCGTCAACCCTAAACTACACCCCTGAACCCCTAAACCTAATAACTACCTCTACAGCCGCAGAGTCCTAAAACCCGCAAGCCTAAACCTTCAACCCAGAAAACAAGCCAAGCTGGCTCTGGTCAGTCCACGATGGCGTGCAAAAGCCTAGCCCCGCCACCAGTAGTAGTAGTAGTAGTAGTAGTAGTAGTCGTAGTAGTAGTAGTAGTAGCAGCAAGTAGTAGTAGTGCGCGTAGCACGACAACTTCGACTTGCATTGGTACGAACCGACTGACAAAACATCCATATTCCTTCGACATAACCACATGAAGAAACAACTTGTGGCTTCAGAGACAAGGAGTGTATTACCACTGGCAACCTATATCCCAAACCGTGAATCTGTTTCAACCCCAAACTCTCTATGCCCCGAACGAAACATTGACATGGGCGTCAGCATAAGGCTTTCATGGTGTCAAAGCAGGTGACGGAAAACCGGTCCCCACCCCCCCACAAGAGTTCCAGCATAGTTTCGCTTACTTGGCGTTCCTGGGACAGTTCCTGTTACGCTCCCGGTGCGGTTCCTGCTTCTACTAGCCCTCGTTCCCGTGACGACCCCCGGAAATGGTTTTCGTTACTTCCCAAGCGGGTTCCTGTTACTCCCCGCACTCATCTCTTCTCATCAGACTCCACAGACATCTGAAGTCAGAGCCCACAGAACTCAAGAATTGGGAGACCTTGGGACAAAACACAGAGGCAGAGGCCTGCTTCGGATTCAAAGGAGGTCGTTGTAGAGAGAAGCTGCACTGAGGTGCCCGGAAGCTCCTCTTGTGCGAAGCTCTTCCTGCAGCTCTTCATATGAGTGTGTCTTAAGATGTCTTGAGGTTGGGGGTACCTTACAGAGGGCTCCTTGGACTAAGGATTCTATTCTGTTCTGAGACACCACCCCCAAAAAATGCCATTGTTTCCGAACTCTCCAACATGCGGCTGAAGGCAGCACAGCATCGAAGCAATCAACAATCATTCAGGACACAACTCTGACATGCTGTCAGGGCACACATCCGCCGGGCGATGGTTCAAGAATTTGTCGACCTGCAAGATCAGATGTTTTGCCCGGTGTCCAGACGCATGGGGTGAAGCTCTCGCATATTGGCGATAATTACTTACCACGGTGGGATATGGCGGGCCCTACGGTCACAACCTGCGATTCGCTCGAAGCTCCAAAGAGGCTCCCAAAGAAGCGAAGGTCGAGCATTCAAGCTTGCGGCTGCGGCTTGCCCATCCCATAATGAACCCCATCCCCGTACTATATCATTCCTCCTCGGCAATGTCGTCCAGCTCCTGACAAGTCGCACTAAATTGGGATGCATGGCGCCGGCATCTGCCGGCAATGCCGCAGCAACCGTTAGCATGAACTAGCGCCCTGGAGATGAACAGGAAGGCTATGCAAATCCCACCATAAAGACTTATTTAGCACTGAGTGGAGCTCCAGGAGGTCGACGTCAATCTCAGGCTGAGAAGCAGCAGGTCCGAGCCTTGAGGGCGGAGGCTCGGCGTGTTTTCTCGGACTTGTGCTGACAGGGGGTGAAGCAAAGCCGGCTCTGAGACTCTGTTGAAATTGAACTGCTCACCACAAGGCTCAGGCGAAGGGGGCTGCGGCTGCGACACTTCTGAGCGAGAGGACTGCCACGTCTTGGAAGCCTCGGTCCGTCGCTGCGGCAGTCGGCTCAGCTGCATACGAACGGGACATTCCGAAAAAGAAGGATCCCGAATATCAGCCCGTGACTTTGTGTTTGAGTGGATTCGATCCTTGACAGCCTCCGACCACTCATCCTCTTCGGCAACCCGAAATAACCCGAAAATGATCACTCTTGGTCCAATGGGCGGCTTTCAGCACGGACTCGGCCTGAGCTCTCGCCGCCTGGCCAGAATCAAAAAGTACATGGAGCATGTATGTGTTTACGTACCTATGTAATTATGTATGTATGTACGTACGTACGTATGTATGTATGTATGTATGTATTTACGTATGTATGTACGTATGTATGTACGTAGGTATGTATGTATGTATCTGAGCAAGGGGCTCGAACACCGCTGGGCGTATAGCGAAGCTCCCGGTTCCACGTTTGCTTTCCCCATGGAGACGTCTCTTTCACGCGTGTCGTGAACACCCCACAGTGTCGCCACCACACCCATCATGTACATTTCCCGACATTGCCTGTTGCTTGTGGGGTCCATGACCGAAGACACCAAATACAGTGTCTCCTGTGGAATGTTTCACGGACATTGAACATGCCGGCATTGCTACTGGACCCATAACAACAGCCGGAAACGTACTTCGAACCCCCCAGACATCGATGAAACACCCGCCCAAGCGCGCTAGGTTAGGGCAGGGAGGTGTCTACACATAATTGACACACGACGTGCTTTCGTGCATGAGCTGTTCGTGGTCAAGAATATTGTAGGTATGTGACACCGAGGCTCCTGCACTCGAAGTCCTAAGAATAAAGTGTCATGTGCAAGGCCAAGCCTGGGCAGAAGCGAGGCTTCGATTCCACGCAGCAGCTGCTGCACCTCGTGCCAGTCTTCGGGTTCAAGAGTTTAGGCACGGGCCTACACACAAGGCTCTATAGGCATTGGGTCTAAGAGTCTTGGAGCATGCCAAAGA